GGGCGGTGGGAACCCGAGCAGAAAGGGCGGGGGACTGCGGTCTGGGGTCCACTCCTGCGGGGGAGAGGGGAGGGAGTCCGGTTGGGGACACGGGTCTGGCCCGGGGGGCGGCCGAAGCCACAGAGGCTGCTCCGGGAGGCGGCAGCGGCGAGCAGGGCCCGGCCGGGGTGTCTGCGGGGAGGGACACCGCACTAAGACATGACCAAAGGGACCCCGGCGGCTAGGGGGTTGGAGCCAGGGGCTCCGGGGACACGCCCGGCTCGCCCCGCCCCCGAGCTCCGGGCAGCGCGGCCTGGCCTGGCCCCCTCCTCACCTTATGTACGGGCTGGCAGCCGCCAGGATGTTCTTCTGCACCGGGATCTCCTCTCCGTCGAGGACCAGGTGCGCGTCGCAGAAGCGGGACTCCTCGCGGAAAGAGCTGAGCGCTCGCAGCAGACGCGTGGCGTGCTGAGGGTCGGACACGGCGCTGCCCTCGGCCATCACGGCGCCCGCTCCTCAGCCCGCCCGTCCGGCTCCCGACGCCGCCCAACCGTACCCCTCGAGCCGCCCGCGTCCGGCGCGCGTCCCGTCTGCACAGCCCGCGCGCGCCTGCCTGCCCGGCCTGCTCTCAGCACTCGGAGCACAAGCGTGAGTCTTCGGAACGCGCCTGCGCCATCCGCGGCGCGAGGGACCGGCGCCTTTAAGGAGTCGCGGCGTTACGTCATTTGTCCGCGACGTCCCCGCGCACTCGCATCCTCCCTATCGCCACCCAACGCCGGAGGCGGCCAATCAGAAGCTTCGCTCCTCCGCTGGGCTGGCGGGTCCCCGAAGGGGCGCTGCCCGGGGCGGTCCACTGCCAAGAGCTATCGCTGCAGCGCTGGAGGGGTGTGCGGTCAGGCTAGCACTCTGTGGTTAAGCCCGTGGCCTCTGGTGCGGTGAGTCTGAATCTGAGTCTCGGCTCTTCCACTCACTGGCTGAGTGACCACGGGTAAGGTGCCCATCCTCAATTTGTCTGTCTGCAAAATGAAGATGATTTCTTACTGTTGTGGACTCATATGAGATAATGCACGCAGGCAAGGGGCAGTGGGTGTAGCTTTCATTATTTACGAGGGAAAAGGCGCTTCCAGGTAAGAGCACAGAGACCCGAGAAAGTAGGCCCTGGAAAGAGCGTTTGGGTTGCGGGCTGGGGAGGAGAGGTAGCAGATGAAGCTGAAAAAGTAAGCAGGGTCTCCGTGGCCGTGGTAAGGAGGTTGTCTCGACTGTGTAGGTGTCACTCAGCTGCTGCGTGGAGAACTGGGCGCGGGAAGAGGGTAGGGGGTATGCCAGAAGCAGAAAGATGCTTAAATATCGCAGTACTTGAGGTAAGGGAATGGAGGCCTGGATAGATGGAGGATGATGAAGGTGAACTGTAATGGATGGCTTTAAAAGAACAGGCAGAATTACAAGGGAGAGGGAGTCCAGGATAATGTTCTGGGATGAGTAACTAACCGCATCCAGAATGTTGGTACTTTTTGGAAAGACTGAAACGCTGAAGGGGTGGAAGGCAGGCCAGACGTTCAGATGTGACCAGGCCTCCCACCCAGTGAAGTTCATGGGGATAGGAAGCAACTCTGGGTCAGCTCCGCCCGCAGGGAAAGGCCCCACACCGTCTGGGATTGCCCAGAAGGTTGCTAACAGCACATGGGAATGAGGAATGCAGCCCTCATTTTATACAAACATTAGGTGGTCAACAAGTTTCCAAAAGATTAGCAGTTTCATGGGGACCAAGGACCAGAAGAATACGGTCAGCATTCCAGGTAAGTCAGGATGGGGCTTTCACTGAGTCAGCTCAGTCTTTTCCTTCTGCCAACTCAAAGGCTCCAATAAAGTCTTGGGACCCTCAACTAGCCAAAGCTTTGGAGTTCCTGATGGGAATCAGAAGTATATAATTCTGGCAGAGTCACTGGCAAAAGAAGGGATTGGGAGAAGGATGTTACCAGTGGATGGTCCAGACATTTCCAGGTCGTTCTTCTAATGCAGATCAGTATTTATGGATGAAATAATAAAAGCGTCTGGGATTGGCTTCAAAACAAAACAAAGGGATGGAGGGAAGTGGGTGGGGTATAAATAAATCAAAAGTGGCTGTGAGTTACTCCTTGTTAAAACTTGTTAAAGCTGTGTCTTGGGTACGTGGAGATTCGTTGTCCTAGTCTCTATATTTTTGTGTATGTTGTAAAATGTCATAATAAAAAGTAAACAAGGTAAGCAGCTGGAGCTTATCTTCTCCATGATACCTGCCCAGTATCCCAGGGAGCAGTCAACACTTCTTTCTTGCAGTTGTTGCTGTACTTTGAACAGTGCCCTGGCAGGAAACTGACTGAAATGGGTTTATTTATCCATAACACCAGCTAGCTTGTATATTTTAGTGCATCTCCATTTTCAGGTGCCAAGCTCAGTGCCTGGCCCTAGTGGTACTCAGTGAATGTTGGATGGATAGAGGGATTCAAAAATTGTGAATATTGGGCGTTTAATAAATGTTTTTTGAATTGTAATCTGTTTTTAGCTTATTTGTGTTTGTCTTCTCAACTGAGTTGTTGGATCAAACATGATATATATGACAGAAAGAGTTCCTATGAAACATGTAGGTATTTGATAAACATTTACTGATTAATTACTTGCAGTGCTGGTCTATTCTTCAAATGTCAGAGGTTCCAAAACAAAACAGCTCCAATAACAGAATCACCCTCAGGTAACCAGTTTTCCCAGAATGGGAGTGTAGCCTTAGTTGAAGTAACTGCAGGTGAATGGGGATTAGTCAGGCAGGCTCTTCCTGGTAGAGGTGAACCTGCTCTGGTGTTTTGACAGAAGGCAGGAATGGAAGGACTGGGGCAGAGGGTTGTAGACAGACCAGCAGCAATCAGGGGAAAGGAGAGGGCCCCCTGTGCAACAGGCAGCAAATTGGCAGAAGACCTTGTACATGCTTTCTGTACTGCCCCTCACTGTTTGCAGTATTCCCCACCAATCCACCTGCCTGAATCACTCAAATTCATCCTTCAAAATCCAGCTCAATGACCTTTAGGGAAACTTCAGCCAACTTCTCATGGCAGAGTCCCGTGCTATGCCATGGTCGTGTTTTCTGTGCGGCACTGACCTCACTGCACTGTAATTAACTGGTTTATAAATTGGTTTGTGAGCTCCTCCGGGATAGGAGTTGTGTTGTATTCACATACTCCGAGGGACTGGTGCTCACTAGGTGCCCCCCTAATACTTCAAGTAATGAGTTAGAAGTGGCAAGTTGGGTAAGTGCACACAGTAGGACAGGTGGGACTGCAGGGAGCTGAGAACACAGCCCCCCGTGTCAGGTGGGAGGCTCCCCCTTACTTCCAGCTGATTGCTCCAGGGCATAAGGGCCCAGTGGTGCCAAACCCAGTGATTTTTTTTTTTTTCAGGAGAGCTGAAAATTCAGATTCACATGTCAAGTGTCCCAGTTTTTCAACATTAGCCACTAATTCCATTTGAGAAAAAAAGTTGCAGGATGTATCTGTCGACAGTATCTGGCTTCTGTTTGTTTCCAGAGGTAATCAGAAAACCACCTTGGTTACCTGAGAAGGGAGTTAACCATCAAAAGGATGCTAGGTTCTCACTAAAAATTGTTGAGTTGAACTCAAGTGCCCTCCCCCACCAAAAAGAACCTTATCTTGGCACTGTAAGGAAGGAAGAGGGCCCAAGTGTGGGAGGGAGGATTTGTGGGGCATCTGCTGCTGGAGCCACTCCTGGTGAGCCTGTGGGCTGTCCTGCCACCTTTCTTGATATTGTTTACAGCCATCAGGAATATTTGGTGTCATTGTTTCCCTACATTCCATAGATATCAGACATCAGCTGTTGTGAAACATACAATCTCAGAGATTTGAGATAGTCCCAGCAGTTTCAGTCTCTGGTGACTATAACTGACCCATTCATTAGAAGCTAAACAACCCCAGAGAAAGATTTTTTTTTTTTGGTCTAAAGACTAAAAAGGATGTGCACAAGATATTAACAGTAGTCATTCCTTCATCAGATACTTATTAAGCACCTGCTACATGATACATGTTGCAGATATACTGATGGTGAAACAGACAGTGGTATCCTTGTAGAGACCTTTTATTTGGAATTTTCTGATCATACTCTTTTTGAAATCTGAAAAAAAAAGAGCAATTTTCATTTGCAAAAAGAAAAAGAAAGCTTTACTTTGCTTCAAAATAGTAAACTGTCACAGAAGAGAAGAATCACCTTGGGATTTGGAGTTTTATTTTTAATAAATGTTAGAAAGAGAAGTGAGAGTCCAGCAAAAGAAACAAAATTAATGGTTTGGAAGTTCTTCAGAAAACACTGACTCCAATGGATTTGTTTTTTTATTGAAGTGAAAAGTGAAGTAAGATGAGTGAAGGACTCAGTCAAGGTCACACATGTGACCTAGTCGGGACAGAACAGACAGGCCCAGAGCTTCAGCCCTGCAAGCTTTTCCATTACACCAAGTTGACTCTTCATAAACATTAATTTGGTTGAGACAGTCTCTTCTGATTCATTTTAAGGCAGTCGTCAAATATTTTATTAGGTAAATCTGTCATTTGTCCAAATCTATATATAGCTCCTTTCTTTCCGAAAATCTAAGCTCTTCCAAATTGCTGAGTCAGAGAACATCTCAGTATTTATAACTCTTGAGAGTTGATTCTATATATTTACAGCATATTCAGAGAAGTGTTTCAGAAACCAGTGAACTGATTAAGTTGTAGTGAAGACAGTGCCTGTTTGTGTCCAAATCTGTGCTGCACTTCCCAGCACCTGGCACAGTGCCTGACACACAGTAGGTCTCAGTAAATATGTGCTGGATGAATACATATTAGGAGGTGCGGAGAACCGGATTTTTCTGTCCGGAAGGCATTACTTCACATGCTGTTTTCCACACCTCCTCACAGTAGGTTTCCATACACCAAACTGGTCTGCCCCATAGCGTGCTAACATCTCCAGTTGAATATCAAGTAGACATCTGCACCTTAACATGTCAGCAAACAAACTCATGATTTTTACCTCTTAAACCTAGTCATTCCCCCAATAAAGTGGCAGCATCATTCCTTTACCCAAGGACAGAGATTTAGGGGCATTCTTGACTTCTGTTCTCATGCCCTTCATCCGATTCACCAGTGAACCCTGCAGCTTCTCCTGCAGACTGGCTCCTGAGTCCAGCCCGTATCATGACCTCCACCGGTACCACCCTGGTCCAGCCACCAATCAGCTACCCCCGGAATCCTGCACTAGCCTCCGAGCTGCTCTCTCTGCTTTTCCTCTTGCTCCCTTACGAGTTCTTTCCCCCCAGAAGTTAATCAGATCAAGTCACTTCCCAACACAAAACACTCCAATGGCTTCCCATCAAAATTAGGGGGAAAAAATTTCAAAGTCCTTATGGTGGCCTAGAAAGTCCTGTGTGATCCGGCCTCGTGCTTCCTCTGTGACTACTCTCCCTGTTGGTGTACACTAACCAAACTGGCCTTGCTCTTCCTTGAACAGGCCTCACATATGCCCACCTCGGGGCCTTTGCACTGGCTGATTTCTCAGGCTGGAAGTCTCTTTCCTTCTACTTAGATCAGAGCTCAAATGCCAATGCCTCAGAGAGGACTTCACTTACTTGCCCATATAATGCCTCCTTCAACCTGCTTAGTTTTCCTCACTGCATTCAGT